AAGAGTCACCAACAAAACCAGTTCCTCAGCAGCATTTCACCCTGCTCAAATTAGATTCACTACTGGGCAGTGTGGAAGATTTGCCAATATTGTCATTTACGCTTTGTCTGGCAACGTAACTGTAAAAAAATCCCAGGGTTGAGGTGTTGAAATTAAGATTGCAAAGTTCAGCTGAAGGCAAGCTGGATGGGAATGTTGTTCCAAGCCCAACAAATGGTTTGTGTGCTGCAGCTCAGCTCTGCTCCCCAGAACAAGTCAGACCTCTGAGCACTGAAATGTTGCTGCTGGGAAAGGGAAGAATAAAGCCTCTGTCTGCTCAACACAAGAAGTGCATGATTCCTTGGGAAGGGAGGGATGTCCCACTTTGTTTGCCCATGTGCATATTTTTCTGTGTTAAGAGTAGAACTGAGAACTGCAAAATGTTCTTTTGTTAGCACAGTATGATGTCCAGTGCAATTATGGAAGGGAAAAATACACATCACAGAGTCACTCAAACCAACCTCAGTTTTCCCTCTGCCCCAAGTTCTTTACTTGTGAACTTTTGTACCCAACCCTGACCTTCTCAGCCTCACAAACACACAGGGTTGGCCTTGCTGTTGGGCAGCAATGACGTTCTGAGGCAGCAGCATGTTTGCAAGGAAAGCCTTTTTTTTCTCTCCTTTTTTCTTTTCCTTTTTTTTTTGGCTGGCAAAATAAATTCAGATGCTTCAAACAATTCCTACCCTGTTCTTCAAGTTTGTGCCTTTTACAGGAATAGAAAGCAGAGAAGTTAGTTGGTTTGAATAATAGACTTGTAAAAGCAGTTTCTTGTTTCAATATTAGAGGGATTAAGGCATCATCTAGCACTTAACATTGTTCTGGTAATGTTAAAAGGGGAAAACAACATCATCTGATACAAAACATTTCCTATTGACCACTTTGCTCACACTCTGCACTGCTCTACAATCAGATATTGGTCAATCCAGAATGTGAAAATTGTAGTTAGGAAGCTTTAAATCAAGTCTGAAAGGAATAAAGTTTGTATCAACAAATCTGAATTGGAATTTCAGTGGTTCTTCATTTCCTTTACCAGAAAAATCCTTTCAGTGTACAACAAAAAGGAGTTTATTAGACTTATTCCCCTGCAGTTCTTTAATTTTGAACTTAGTTTGTGTTTTCCCCTCCCTATATAAAAAAAATAAACCTGAAATAAAGCTCTCCTTGTCTGAGGAAGGTCAACTTCAAACATCTGCAACCCATTTATATTTTAAAAGTCAGTCTCACATCCCACTCCCCTCACCCAATTAACTCCAAGTTGCCAAAGGGGCACAAACAAAGCCAATTCATCAGGCACATTTGGCATTTTAATGGTATCACTGACTGCTCCAGCAGCAAAAATGCTTCCAAGCCTAAAATATCTCTTTCCACCTCCTTCTCATCCCCACCCCAACAAACTGCAATAGGTTCAATAACACCATGAGTAAAAGGAGAGGAAGTCCAACCCTGCAAACACTTCTCAAGCACAAGTTCTGCTCCTGAGGTTTCCACAAACCACAGGCCAGGGCTAAATGGAAGATGTGATACATTTGGTTTATGTGTCCTGGCAGCAACAATATTTGCAGTCAAATCCCACATTGGCCAGAAAAGATCTCTGAGCTTCTACAAACACACACACAGAGTTGACAAAAGCTGCTTTCTCCCCTCCTGCCTCAGCCCCACCACACATGGAAGCCTTTAACACTCATTGCCAGCACTGAAGCAGCAACTTTAGTGGTTTTTCAAAGTCAAACAAGTCAACTCCTTCAAAAAAAAAATAAAAAATACAAGAGGTTAAGTCTAGCAGTGATTCCTTTCTTATATGTTTGATTTGGTGGAGAACATTTTGTATTTCTATTGGCTTTGTTTCTGCAGTAAGGTCTGTGTCTCCTGTCTCCAGAGAGCTCAGGGACTAACACTGCAGTACATTAGTGCTGTGAAAACATTACTTCACACCAAAAGCAAACAAGAGGCCTCTGCTGAATTTAGCAGTGCCACTTTTTTTTTTAAAAGAACACCCAGCCTTAGGAAATGAAGGCTCCTGGTTCACTTCTCACCCTCCTGAGCCCCTGAGGTATTTATTTGGTAAATGGAGGAGTCAAAATTTAGGTGACACACAAAGCCTAAACACTCCACATTTTATTTCTATCCAGTTCACTTGTATTTACCTTATGGACAAATATTTCCCATTGTTTTCATTACTGTTGCATAAAAAGCAAAATTATCTGAATATCTTTAAGAAAAGGAGGAGACTGCACATTATTTGTGACAGTTACCCAGTGGAGATTGAACTGGGTAGACTGGTCGATCTAAAATATCCATCCAGTAGAATTCACCCATGGGAACTTGATGGGAAATTAGTAAGCTTCAATATTCAGTTATAAGAGACCTCATGGCATGTTAGTTTTAAAGGGGAAAAGCATCATTGAACAAATTCAAGAGAATTTTCCAGACCCATTCTTTTTGCTTATAGATACTTATCAATAGCCATCAATGAACACATCATTTACATCAAGGTTTCCTCACTGAGGACAGATTTTCTTATTAATTTCAGGGGGGAAAAAAATAGCACTACAAGACTTGGAAGCTCCAAACAATTTTTTACACCACTTATACTGTACTTCTGCTCCTTACCTCTTCAGGTCAACTGTTGTGACACTGAACACCACTCCCTTCAGCCACAAAATCATGAAGAGCCTCTGGGAAAAGGGACAGTTTCCTATGCTCTCCCCATCACTTCCAGCCTGCAGGAGAGAAGAGATTGTCAGTTAGAAGGGTAGGAATGTGCCACCAACACAGGATCATGATTTTTATTTAAAGACAGACTCAGTACACCAAACCATGTTCTGCTGCCTGCTCAGTCTGCACATCACTCTCTCTTCCAAGCTCCAACCCAGCACCAACGTGCAGGAACATCCCAAAGCTCAGCTATCCTGCAGATATCTCCATACAACACACCAAGAGGAGCATCTTGGGGATATTTAACTCCACTTCCCACATTGGGAAGGTAAGACATGGACTTGTGCCACATTATGTTCCTCTTTTGTACTTCACTTGTACCTTCCAACTGTGGTTTGGTTTTTTTTGTTGCAGACACAAGGAGGAATTTAATAGAGTGACATCTGCACATCTATCATGTCAACTAACCTCATTACATCTCATGTCGTTTGACAGCTGCTCAAAAAGTCTATCAAACCAATATTTCACTCAACAGAAGTTCTTTCATGCTGAAGATGATCCAACTGCTCTGAGCAGTCAGAAAAGGACAGTTGAACATCTTCCTGGGAGCAGCCACACCTTTTGATGGCAATTTCCCAACAACAATACTATTCTTTGCTCTTTATTATTCTTACACCTTTTGATGGCAATTTCCCAACAACAATACTATTCTCTGCTCTTTATTATTCTTTTTTTCCTTCTTCTCCAAGGCATAACTAATGAATTGTAGTCATCTTCCAGTTCACTGCTTATTTCCCTCTCCCTTTGCAAGTGCTACAGCAAACCAACTGCAGGCAGGAACTGTGAATCT